ATAGTGAGTTCAAAACCAGCCTGAACAGGCCAGGGATGATGCTCAGTGGTTTTGCCACCTGCTGCGCAAGTGCAAGGACCTGAGTTCAATCCCCGGTACCAAAAAAAAAAAAAAAAAAATAGCCTGAACTACAAAGTAAGACCTTGTCTCCAAAAAAAATTTTTTTAGAGCCCGGGATTTAGCTCAGTGGCTCCCCACCCGCCTCACAGGCTCAAGGTCCCAAGTTCGATCCCCAGTACCAAAAAAAAATTTTTTTTTTTTTATTCTTACGTTCTTTTCTGGTACATTTTAGGTATACAATGCGTTTACATTTGTCATTGGGTGCTTGTACCTGTGCATGATGTATCTTGGTTCTTATTTTTTTCCCCATTACCTGTGTGCCCTTCACCCCCTCCACCCTTCCCTATTTACATAGACTTCATTTCCATTTTTTTTTTTCTTTTCTCATAATTTTTCCTTTCCCTTCTTTCCCCTTCCATCACCCCTACCCATTTGGACTTTTCTCCTTATTTCAAATTATCAATTATTCATTTTAATCATTTTAGCCCTTATTTACACTTTCAGTTTCTCACACTAGAGAAACTATTCAGTAAAGTGAATAAAGGGCTGTGGGTGTGGCCCACAACTGTGAGGCCCTGGCTTCAATCCCCAGTACCACAAAAATGAATAAATAAACAGTATTTGTGGGCCATATGAAAACAAGCAGCAGGCAAAATTTGGCCCTTGAACCATAATTTGCTGACCTCTGGGATAAAGAGCAAAAACCACGTGATCATCTCATTGTAATAGATGACCTTCAAATAATCCCCACTTCTGGGTATTTCTGCTCTTGTGTAATCCTTTCCGCTTGTGGACATCGTGACCCTTGTGACTCATTTCTAACAATAGAATAAATCCTGCAGAAGGGATGGGATGTTGTTTTTGAGATTGAGTTGCAGCAATTCTGTGCTGCTCTGATTTCTCCTGGGCCCTTGACTCTCACAGAGGCAGGCTGCTCTGCTGTGAGTCCCTCTGTGGAGAGGTCCATGTGGCCAGGAATCAGTCTCCAGCCAGCCACTCACGAGGGCCTGACACCTACCAAAGCCAAGAATGAGCTTCAAATTGGATCTTCTGCGTCAGCCAACAGCCATCTAATGAGCTGGGGAAGAGATCTAAACCCAGTGAAGCTTGGAGATGATTGCAGCCAAGGTCCAGTACCTTGACAATAGGCTCTGAGAGTCTCACCCAGAGGCACTCTGCTAAGTGGCCCATGTGCTCCTGACTCACAAAAACTGAGACATTAAGTATGTTACTTTAAGCCAATTTCTGTTAGGGTAATTTACTATGCAGAAAGATAACTAATACATTACTAGGCACAGAAAATGCACATGGCAAAATCCAGTACCCTTTCGTGATGAAAACAAACACTACGAGGAACTTTCTCCAATGTGGTCAAAGGCATCTATGAAAAACCTACTGTCAACATCAACCTTAATGGTGAAAGACTGAATGCTTTTTCCCTAAGGTCAGGAATAACCACACCTTTGGGGGGGGTGTTACTGGGGACTGAACTCGGCCTCACATCTGCTAGTCATGCAGTCTACCACTGAGCTCCACCCCCCAGCCCAAACACTTTCTATTCAACTTTGCATTGCAGGGCCGGGGATTTAGCTCAGTGGTTTCGCCACCTGCTGCGCAAATGCAATGACCCAAGTTCGATCCCCGGTACCTAAAAAAAAAGAGCAACAAACTTTGCATTGTAGGGTCTAGCCAGTGCCCGTAGTTTTTTTTTAATGAATACTGATGGAAAGGAGTGAAGTAAACTTTACTTACAAATAACATAATTCTGTAATTTATGTAGAAAATCATAAGGAAACCATCAAAAAATACTATAATTCATAAACAAGTTTAAGAAGCTCACTTGCAACAAGATCATTGTACAAGCAGGGTGTGGTATTGTATACCTGTAATCCCAATGCTCTGAAAGGCTAAAGCAAGAGGATTTCAAGTTTGAACCCTCCCAGGTCTCAAAAATTAAAGGGCTGGGCATGTAGCTCAGTGGCGCCATGCCTGCCTGACAAGCACAAAGTCCCGAGTTTGATCCCCAGTACCAAAAATAAATAATAAAAAGGGCTGGGGATGTGGCTTAGTAGAAGGGCCCTGGGTTCAATCCTCAATACCACACACCAAAAAA